TCCCACATGCTACCCCAATATCCCCTCCCCTTTCCCTCTCATTCTCAACCATTCAGCAACCTACCTTTTATTTGCTTCCCATCTTCAGCTATATTTATTATTTTTTGAAAATTCATTTTCACCCCACCTTCTCCACAGCAGGGACCAAAGCAGCTTACATTATTTTCTTCTCTCTTTTTTATTTCCACAACAACCTTGTGAGGTAGATTAGGCTGAAAGTAGGTGACTGGTCCAAAATCACACAGTGAGCTTCCACAGCAAGATGGGGATTTGAACTTGGCTCTCTCAGACCCTACTCTGAAGCTCTAAGGGCTACATCACACTGGGTGTCATAGAGTGGCTGCTGTTAAACAGTAGCAACCAGCCAGGCCCAGTTGAGTCATGCAAGTCAGGTGGTATAAAGTCACTCAGAGGCTGCTGCCGGGCTTAGAGTTAACAGCCTTCAGGTGGGCCCCGGAGATCTCCCAGAATTACAACTGAACTCCAGATGAAAGAGATCTGTCCCCCTGGAGAGAATGGCAGCTTTGGAAGGTGGACTCTATGGCATTACATCCAGCTGAGGCTTCTCCTCTCCTCTAAACCCTGCCCTCCTCAGATTCTACCACAAAATCTCCAGGATTTTCCCAACCTGGAGCTGGCAAGTCTAGCCAGGCCTTGCCCCAATGAATTCTCCCTCAAAGGCCAAAATATGGCTGGAAAGGGTCCTGCCACCCTCCCTGTTTTTTACTGATAGAACCAAGCTTGGAATGCTGTTGTTGCCTAGGAAAAGTCACTGAGGGAATCTGTTGCTTAAAGCTACAGCCTCTCCTTTTAATATTTTTGGATTTTTTAAAGCTATCCGGTGGGTGCGGTCAGACGGCGTGATGAGAGCGGGTTAAACTGCTCCAGTTCTGACCGGATTATATTTGATCTGGATAATCGTGATCACACTTACCTTCCTTATCCCACCTCAACGCACAGTCACGTCACTTCCCGGTGTCTACACTACTGATGCGCAGGAGCGTGTGTCGGCGGGTTTTTTATTTTTTCTCAGTTTGTGCATGCGCATAGGTGCTCATTTGTAGAATGGGGGGGGGCGAAACTACCATGGGCATGTGCAGAACCACCAGGGCAAATCAATCCAACCCCTTCAACAAAAGACTTCCCTTTAAACGTTTGACCTGAAAATGGCCTCCATGAGATCCTGAATTCATCTGAACTCTAAAACAAGTGACCGCTTAAATGTCAGTTTTCTAAACACGGTAGTGGAGCTCTGCCTATGTGCGCACTGCCGACACTAAAAAAAATGGCAGACGAAAAGCAGAAGCCTCGGGCAGCTTTCGAGCAGGGAGGGGGTTTAAACCGGAAGTGGCTTGACATCAGAGGAGTCATCACACAGGGGGGAAATGCGGCTTTAAGCAGGAGAGCTGAGAAAACACCACTTTAGGACCTGGTAACAAAATACTCCAGGTTAAAGCGGTTTTGAGCCGGAAACCAATGACTGGGGACTCGAGGCAGATGTTGACTGTGTGATCATGCATATAAAATCTGTTGCTGAACTGTCACGACACCAGATCAAATGGCGCATCTGAACACACCCAATGTGATTTTTTTAGATTTCACATTTTTCTGCAAACTTAGGCCTCTTTTCAGGTTTGTAGAAAGATCTGTCTTGCTGTTCACAACTCAAGTCACTGGATTTAAGTATCCAAAGATATACAGACTTTGCTATTACATAATAAGATTGTCCTGATAGCATCCACTTTGATAATCTAAAAGTTTTTGCTATACAAATTCACTTAATTAGTCTGCTTAGCCAGCTTTACTTGTTCAAATAATGGCTTGTGATTTCCCTGTTTACAGAAAAAGTACTACAGTCTTATACAACTCATCTCTGCTATTATACTGTTCCCACAAGTAGACTTCCCATGTGAGCTGTTATTTGTGTACAATGGCTGGGTAGTGTCATACCTGAACGAGCTCTAAGCCTCTGTTAATCTAGCTCAATCCAAAGGTACTCTTATTTATCCTTGTTTTTATACATGTGTTCTAGGTGATTTCCAAATTTCTCACACAATCTTGAATTATATCATATGATGACTTAATATTTATTTAGATCTACATAATAGGCACTTACCTAAAGACCTTCTATTTTCTGGTTTTGACTTTTTAGATTCTGTCTCCAAAGGGCTCAGCAATTCAGAACTAGAAGATCTTTGAATTCTGAACTCCTTGGTTCTTGATATGCCATGCTTTTCTTTCGATTAGG